AATTATAACTATAAAAACAATATATATTTTAAAAGTTTTTTTGAATCCAAGAATATTTGATAAAGAAGGCAAAAATATGCAAATATTTGTTTTTGCTATTGATGGTTTATTGGCAATTATATCTTTGGTCTAGGACTGAGCTCATCTAAAACTTAACATTTTTTATGAATGCTACGGTTGTAAAAGCTTCAATGTGCTCTGTGCATATCATTTTCTCATTACTAAAACACATTTTCGATTAAGCTCTGCTTGCTCCATAGAGGGTATGGCAAAGTAAGTAATCGTACGTGTGGAAAAGAAGCTGGCACTGATTGCTGCATAAATGATTGAGAATGTGTGTGGGTGGCTGTCGGCTAGCTGGGGCATAGGTTGGGGCCAAATGGATTGGCTCTGTCTGCAGCTGCCACTGGTGGAGCCAGTAAGCCCTTGCCACTGGCATTTTGGGATGCTGCACGGCTGAAACTATCAGCATGCCGCATTCTTGCATGCAACAAAAGGTTCACATGCAACGAATTGACATCTGAGTAAGCGTTATATGAAAATTGATGGAAAATGCCAAAATATTTAAATCTAATTTCTGTGGCGGCGCCAGATGAACAGAAAGCGAGCAAGACATACAGATTGAGAGGGAAAGAGAGAGATAGAGAGGGATAGCGACAGCAAGACAGAGGAACTGCGGCCAGGCGAGCTAGTTGCAAGTCCAACGATTTAAATATGCACTCGCATATATATTTTTAGCTATCAGAAGACACAATAGAGCAGACAATGTGAATGCACAATAAATCACCAAAAAGCGCAGCCAGAAAAAAGGAAAAAGAGCAGAGAGAGCGAGCAGGGAAATTAAAAGGGAAAATGCGTAAAAAGCGAAAGAAAATGCAGACGAATCGTCGTTCGTCGTTCGCCGTTCGTCAGCGTCAGCGAAAGCAAAAACCAAATCATTTAATTGAATTATTCGCGATAAAATTGCAATTTATTTTGAGAGACGAGTCGAGTCGAGTTGATTCAAACCAAACGAGCGACAGTTGCTGGCAATGCTGTCGTTGTCCTTTCCACAATGAAGACAGCAACAGCCGCAATCAGCAGCAACATCAGCAGCAGTGCAGCAGCAGCAGCAGCAGCAGCAGCAGCAGCCAACACGCACACACAAAAGTTGCATGCCAGATTTGCCCCCAATGTCCCGTTAAAGCGAAATGCGTATTATTAGCAACGCTCCGGCATATCTATGCCACCATCTATCTTGCTGCTGCACTCTCTTGCAGTCGCACTTTGGCTGACCCATGCTCAGCGCGCTCAGCGGACAGAGTCAACTCCTCCTGGCTGCCATTTGCCTCACACAAATTGCATTGTTCTTGTTTACATTGTGCATTGCTCGTTGCATTACACTGTGTATGATTGTGCGTGTGTGTRTGTGTATGTGTGTGCGTGTGCGTGTGTGTTCTGCATCACAAATTAATTGCATATTATGTGGCACTTAGTTGCTAACTGTATTGTGCCCTGGCGCACATTATGATGCTGAATATGAGCGAGATTCGGAATGGCTTAGAAATTCCAGAAATTGTCAGGAATTCGCTAAAAGCTTCCACTTGAGATATTTATGAAATATGCACGGAAAATATTTAGTTGTTGTGCTAAATATTCGAATTTTATGAGAGCGAAATGCATTAAAATTATTATAATATATAAATGTGCAAAGTGAAGTTATGTAAAATGTTTTAGTAAATATATGAAATTGCAATTGTTAAGAGTCAGGGCTATGATATACGACTAATATTACTGAGTAAATTATTATACTTATAGAAATCGATAAAAGGGGGTAGAAGATACAATTTAAAAATATTTGAATGCATCTCATCTCATCAGCCAGTCATGAAGGCAACTGACATATAATCGATATATTTATAAATTTTAATTTTATATAATTATTTTACTTTTATATCAACTCTAACTTATAAATAAATAAATACTTACATATATATAAAATACACTGCGCAAAATTAGCAAAGCACATCCTTCACGTTTTCTATTATTATTTTCTAGTTCATTCGATCGGCAGTTCGAAAAATTTTCTATTGAGTTCTGTTCATTTGATCAAAGTTTCTGTGAGACTGTGCTGTACTTCCGCATATCTGTAAATATTTGACCATTTTAAAATTAGTTCAACGGTTTCTCGCAATCCATTTCCTCTCTTAAAAAATGAAGAATAATTTCTTTAAATATTATACCCTGATTTCTCACTTTCAATGGGTTCAGAGAATAGAACGAAACTCGTTACATTCATGCAATTTCGTCAAGAATTATATTTAATATACTCAAACATATTCAGATCAGTTAAAATATATTTAATGTTTTTCCAAAAATAAGAAATTCATCCCAAGAGATTAATTTTTGTATACAACCAAATGTATTTTTTTTTTTTTTTTTAATTAAAAAAATGTCAAATATTAGCTGTTTCAAATAAAAATCCATTCGATTAAGAATTTTTAAGTAGCTTTTGCTGCTCACAAAGCAATTCATCAGATAAACAATTCACTTCTTAAATAGAAATCTCATTAAATATAATACTTAACAATCAGTTTGCAATATTAGCTTTAGCCACTCGGCTTAGCTATTTACCATGCTTACTCTTTCGCCTGCCATTGATCTAAAAACTTTTGCTGTATTTACCTTTGTGCTTCGCAGTTTCCTCTCGCTCTCGAAAAACCATTTAAATGGAGAACTTGAGAATCAAATTTAAATACCGAGCGAATTGTGTAACTTGGCGTTTCGTTTTCTTTTGTCGGAGCTCTGGCAGCTTTCCCTCACTATCTCTCTCTCTCTCTCTCTCTCTCTCTCGCCTCCGCTGCTGGTCTCAGCTCTTTTGGCTTTGTTGCTGTAAATTTGCTGTCCACATTTCTGTTTCCGTGTTTCTTGCCGTGTTGCTGTGTTGGCATTTCATTTAGCGCACAACTTCACATTTGCGTTGCCTGCAATTGCCATTTCCGTTTCCTGAAATTTGCCACTCGTTACACACTCTTACACACACACACACACACACATCTATATGTATATAAAGGGAGAGAGAGAGAGAGGCAGAGAATGGCAAGGCGGGAGGGAGAACAATCTACCAGCCAACCGACATTTTCATTTCCATGCTTGGGCGCTTCGCACGAATCAATTATTCATCATCATCGATTAAGTAAGAGCAGCTACCAGCCCCCAACTGTCACGCCCCTCCCTCGAATCGCAGCACTCTCCTCTTTATGCAGTACTCCCCTGGCTGGGTGTCTCGCTTTTATTGTTATGATTTTTGCCGGCTGTAATGGCCTTCCCTTGAAGGACTTTGGCCAGCC